ATATCTCAATTCTATCGACTAGGTGTATGGTGTCAAGTTAGCACTACATACCATTTTTTCTTAAAAAACGAGAGCTACAATTTTTTTCTTTCCACAACAAATTTACAACAAAAACACTACAATTAATGCCGTAGTTAACTTTTCCAAATTCGAAAAGTGTAGTGCTAACTTGACACACGTGATATTTTGTTGCCAAAAGTAATTTTTGCTGAGCTCCTATGTTTTGTTAATTACAAAGATCCATACATAGGTATCTTTTCTAGTAGAAAAATTTCTGTATCTCCTGAAAACGTGCAATTCTGAACATTTTCAAATTGGTGTGACAGGGCGTATGATGAATACAAAATTATTAAATTCAACTTTTCTACTACATTCCTTTTTCTTAAAAAAATGCCTTACAAAATATTAAATAAACCAAATCATATGCTTTCTTTTATATGTCCCTTCAGGCTGTTCAACTGTTGTAAATCAGTACGATATGGAAATTATGTTTAGTTAAATTTTTTATGTCATACGGAACTACAACCATTATATCAACCCGAGAGGACATGTCAAAGACTAAACGATTTATTTTGATTATTTAATATTATAAAATGAATTTTTTTAAATGAGGAAAAAAAATTGTATACAAGTTGAATTTAATAATTTAATGTTCATCATACGCCCTGTCACACCTATTAAAAAATGTTCTACAATTGCAATCCTTCAGGACATACACAAATTATTCGACTAGAAAACATATCGTTTTGCAGCCTTGTAATACACCGTTAAAAAGCCGCTATACTTTTCGATTAATTAATTTTTTCGATGTCCTTAAAGATGCAGATTTACTAGAAATGCGTTAGAATATGGGAAACATTTCGACTTTATTGCATTTCCAAAGTTTTGATGGACGATTTGGCAGTCTAAGTTCAAGTTATTAACTAAAACTTCAACTAAAAGTCGGCACGGGTTATCGTTAGCCTACGGCCATAAAGCTTTATATATATGCTATTTAGGCTAAAAAGCACAAATATAGAGGTTATGCATATCAAAATTTCCACACAAGGTTTTTTCCATATATTCTTGGGACAGTCTAATATATACATATATATATATACATATTCATAGTCGAAATATGGTCGATGCAACTTTTTTTGACAGATATTCTGTTGAAAATTATGTCAAAAAGCTGCAATTATGTATAACACATTATACGTGGCAGTGGAACATAATAGTGATGTGCTGAATTGCCGGTACACTATACTCGGTACCCAATACTTCAGAAAGATTTCGGTACCCAATACTTCCTTTTCGGTACCCAATACCGATTCTATACGTAATTGCAGCTTTTTGACATAATTTTCAACAGAATATCGGTCAAAAAAATTTGCATCGATCATATTTCGACTATGAATATGCTTCTCAATTAGTACGTGTAAGACGATGCTTTCCCAAAGGTTGAACGATTTGTGCTTAGCAATCTGGAAACCACAAATTAAAACACTCTCATCGCCTTCTTGATATTGTCGCAACAGTAAAATACCGTTTTATCAGCTTCCGTTTCAGAGACATTTCAGAAAGCAGTTGCATGAGCTGTCACACCTTACATGTAAAGTGTCTTTCGAAAGATGTTTTTTGTTTCCGAAAGGCGAATTGCTGGGGAAATTTCTGTGTGACAACATAGTGTGATAGCTATTGATGTTCGATCGCTTGAACAACACAAATTTTTTGATTTCTTACTGTTACGTTTGCCTCAAGCCAAGTTACCACACTTGTTGGACTGTGTAATCCCCGCTAATGAATTTCTGACAAGCTTTCTGTTACTAAAATGCAACCGTGAGCCGCTGTAACGGTTGTTTTTCATTTCGCTTGTTTATAATTACCTTTATTTTAAATTGGGAGATTAATACTATGTCTCCATTGTGAGATTTAATAAAGATTTAGCCCTCTGACGAGATTTGACGTTAAATCTTTTGAGATTTATCAAATAAAATTAAATCTCGAAAGGCAGTAGATTTAACTTAAATCTTCGTCAAATCTTCAATAATATTGATCAATAAGTACAATTTGTTGGATGTGGCAACCACAAATTCACATGCCATAAGTCAAATGACATTTCGCTAGCTTAGAGTGCAGAGTTGCTAAGTCCATTTTTTTCAATTGTACAGGAAACACAAAAAACGTTGCTAAGTAATTTTCTTTAAGTATTTTGCAAAACTTTGAATGCAGTGTTTCGCGTTTTTCTTTTACCTTTTATTTAAAAAAAAAAATTAACAAAGTCTGCTTTTTTTTTTTGCAAATTTTGTAGATAATTTTGTGACTTAGCAAATTTTCTACTTTTTTCTTAAAATTTTTTTGTTGGACTTAGCAAATTTTCCATGAATTTTTCCAATATGTGCTATACGAAAAATCCATCTCGTAGGTACATTTTAAGAAACGATTTGTTAGAACAAATTGTTTAGGTTCTTTTAAAAATAATAATAACACAAGGGAACAGTGATTTTGTTGCATCAAATGTTAAAGCTGTTTTTGATAGTCTTTTTTATGTTGATTACTATAAGTGACCATCAATTCAACGTGCAGGGATGGTATTTTCAGAGATAGTAGTCGAGACTTCTAGCTTTAATTAAAGCCTAATATCACCTTTAGGTTCTTTGCTATGGCTTCTAAAATATTGCAAAAACGCGATTTTTTGAGATTTTGACCTCGTTTTTTTCCAAATCTAGAGCTGATGGAGAGTTTATACTTACGGATTCGTTATCAGCATAAAAAAGTCTATCCAAAACAGTTTTAATATTTAATGTAACGAAATTGTTCCCCTTTTTTGTTCCCTTGTGTAATAGATTGGCCCTTACACATATGTTAGTGTTTGGCCGAGCTTCTCCTCCGATTTGTGGCGTGCGCCTTGATGTTGTCACACAAAGGGAAGGGACTTACAGTTTTTCTTGGCAGAAATACCCTCGGAGGTTTGCCATTGCCTGTCGAGGGGCGACCACTGTTCTCTTCACTGAACAAGCACAACTTCTAGAAACACTAGTTTACTTCATTTTTTTTATTTTAAAATAATTTGTTTATAATCTGAATGATTGTCATCATATTATTATCATAAATCGGTAATATCAAGTCTCGCCTTCAATTTGGTAATTATTACGTGCCGATCGAGTAACATTTACCAAAGTTATATCGAAAAACTTAAATGGATCTCCAGTTTTTTTCTAAAAAAAAATTCTCTTCAATTTTATAAATAACCTTTAAATGAAAGAACCGGATTACAGAAAAGTATGCCAGGGAGTCACTTTTTTCGTTCACGCTGAATGCAAAGCAATATCGTCCAATTCGAGAGTCCTCAAAAGGATTTTCCAGGATATGTTAAAGACTATTGCATTTACCTACCTACAGTTACTTTTTCACATAATGGAATTAACTAAAATATTTATGTAAAAACTTGTTGCACGTCCCCTACTTTCATATAACGGCAAATTTAGAAATCACGAAAAATGGACTTAAAATGGGCCCTAATTGTATTATGTTAATGTATGCAAATACTTATATTTATGCTTGCAACTACTAATAACTTATCAAACGATTCCGAATCTTTGACAACACATGTTTGACTTCATTCACCACGATCTTGAAAACTGACCAAATCGGCGTGACCAAGTCCATGGTCCTTTTAATATTATATAATCATCCGAAAGCATTAAAACGTTTGAAATAGATCTCGTC